GCTCAGATACTTATGTGTGACTTTATATTAGTTACTTAACCTTGCTGAAACTCATTTCCTCCTCTGTAAAATAGATACAATAAAAATCCCCCTGGAGGGTCATTTTACAAATTAATAAGCATTTATGTAAGCACTTTATGAATGAGCATCTTTATCGCTCATTCACCAAGTGTTTAAGGGTCTGCTAATGGGCACAGGGATGCAAAGATGAATAAACCAAAATTCTTTGAGCCCTAAGCCTCTAAGGAAACATGGCAAATATAGTAACAGTGACAATCAAAGGGAGTTACAGAGAAATTACTTGACTGGAAAGAGGGGTAGGATTCAACCAGATGGCAACATGTGACTAAAGACACAAAGTCTGAACAGGATGGCTTCTAAAGGAGAAGACCACCACAAGTAGCTGACTCCCCATTTAATGCAAAGCAAGGCCCAACTTATTACAGTGGCTATTAAGAGCCTGTCCAAAAGCGCATACACCCCATTTTCTCTTGGCCCTCATTTCCTACAATAAGTTGAGTATCCCTTACCTGAAATGCTTGGAGCCAAAAGTGTTTTGAATTTTTAGTTGTTTGAGTATGTTTTCATATACATAATGAAATATCTTGGGGATGGAGCCAAAGTCTAAAGATAAAATTCATTTGTATTTCATTCACATCTTATACACATAGCCTGAAGGTAATTTTATACTTTTATAGTGTGTCTACATTTTGTCTATAATCCATTAAATGAAGTCAGTGCAAAACTTTCCATTTGTGGCCTCACATACATGCTTAAATTTTGGATTTGGGGAATACTTTAGATTTTGATTTTCAGATTAGGAATACTCAACCTGTATTTCTCACTCTTTGTTCTCCTCTCCTTGTACATTCCCATCTCAGGGCTCTATAATAGCTGTTCCCTGGCCTAGACATTCTTCCTCTGTTTATCCATATAGCTCTTGCTCAAATGTCACCTTTTCAATTAGGCCAACCTTGATCAAACTATGTAAAATTAACTTAAATTCTATAAAATGAATTTACTTAAGTTTATTGTTTACTGAAAACATCTCCCCCACTCACCCCCATATAAGCTCCATGAGGACAAAGGTCTTAAGTTTTGTTCCCTGAGGTATCACAAGTGCTGGGGACAATGGCTGGCACACAGTAGTGCAGAATGAATGAATGAAGTGTCGCTGGAATGTAAAGTCAGGGCAGGAAGTAGAGAGAGATGAAGTGGAGAGCTATAGAGGCTTTGAATGCTGCCGTGAAGAGCTTAGATTTTTATCTGGTGAGTAATGGGAAGCCTTTAAAGGTGAGTGGCATGTTCAGATCTGCTTTTTAGATAAATCACTCAAGGAAAGGATTTGAAGAATAATAATGGCAGAGTCCAACAGTGAAGAGATTGCAGCAGCAAGTGAACTAGGGAGCAAGTCAAGGAAGATCCAGAGGACAGCAGTAGGAATAAGAAGGGAAAGGCCCTATCTGAGGCATAATTATGTTAAAAGCAGACAGGTTTTGAGTCTGGCATGGTGGTGCACTCCTGTAATCCTAGGTTCTGGGAAGGCTGAGGCCGGAAGAGGAACACAAGTTTAAGGCCTGCCTTGGTTATTTAGCAAGAATCTGATGCAAAATAAAATTCTGAAAGGGCTGGGACTGGGGGCTAGGGATGTAGCTCTGTGGTGGAATGCTTGCCTTCATGCATGAAGCCCTGAGTTCTATTCCCCATCAACTCCCAAAAAGGGGGACACTGGAGAACTGCTCAGTGGTAAAATGTCCCTGGGTTCAATCACCAGTAGCAGAGATGGAATAAACAGGGATCAGGAGGGTCTTGATAACTGATAAAGTGGAAGCGGGTAAAGAGGGAGGAAGGGGAATGCAAAGATGACTACAGGTTTATAGTACAGGTGACAGGGAGGTTGAATTAAGTGAGCTGGAGAATGGGCAAGGGGAAAGGGACAGGAAAATGATGAATTAACTCCATGTATATTCAAGTGGTTCCAGTATCATTTATGGAAAAGGGAATCTAAAGCTCATTGGAGAGGTTTAGTGTGAGGATGGTCTTTCTAACCAAGCAATAATTATACTAATTTTAAAGGGAAAACAACTTTCATTTCAAACATCCAAATTTGCTTCCAAAAGCAGAGACTAAAACACAGCTATTTAGTTGGGAGTTTATATATCTGCTTTATGTGATTTTTTTCCCCAGATAGCAAAAAGAATGTGATTTTTTAAATATTTAATTAGTTCTTATTCTAGACTTCACTTATGGTAGGTTTTAGCTAACTTCCCAGAGAAAATAATAATCTCTTCTCCCAAAGAGTTATCATGTTTGGTTGTGAAATAACTAGTGGTATAAGACCATACCCTTTCATTTTGTAAAAGTATATGGGAGAAGCTAAATAAATTCAAAGGCAATATTATATATTCAAAACAAATTTGAGGAAATACTTTTAAAATGACATGTAATTAGTTAGTAGAAGTAACTATCACAGCATGTGATTGAAGCAAATTGCTTTATGAGCTCTCCTTTCTCCTTAATCAAACCTATATATAAAAATAAGGTATGGAAGAAGAGACAATATTGTACCATCACTTAAAACTACAAGTATGAGGAAATGTAACTTAACTTCAACAATAATATATTGCGCATTTACTTTTTGCCAGACACTGTGCTAGGCAATTGTATATGCTTTACCAGGTTTCCTTTTTAACTCTTTAAAGTATACTAATAAGAAAACAACAACAGAAAACCAAAAAGCAAGGCTTAGTTGAGCACTCACTAAGGTCACTTTACTATCAGGGGAGGTGGAGACATCTTTCTAAAGAAGGAAAAAAATATTCTTTTTTTCTTTCCCAAATCAAATCATTTGTGGCAACTTGCCCTGACTTGTTACAGATGAGCTTCCTGAAGGCATTGTATGAAAAAAGAAGAAAACAAAACAAAACAAAACTGGTGCACCAATTGCTATGCCGCAGAACCTCTGCATACTGGAAAATATGTAAAATGCAATAAATAAACAAACAAACAAACAAACAAATGAGCTAACCCTATGTTAGTGATCTGGGATATTTTCTTTCTAGGGGTAAAATTATTTAGGATTAGGAGAAGAATATTTTGGACAATAACTAGCTGCAACAGGAGAAAACAAGTGATAACAATAGGTAAGAACCCAGGCATACATTTTGGGTTGTGGACTGGGCCTGGGTTTCACACTCAACAGCTCTTCCCAGAGCTAGCTCACAGCTCATGGCCTGCACTTCTGCTGAACTAATTTCATTCAAGTCATCCACACCTTAGAGGAGAGATGGAAGCCACTGCCTTTTAAAGAGAGGTCCATTTAAATGACTAAAAAATAAATAAATAAAAATTTTTAAAAAATTAAAAATATCCCCCCCCCAAAATAAAATAAAAAATAAATAAAAAGATGAATGGAAGGTGAGATCTAGGATGGGCAGGGAAAGAAGGGCAGGGAAGTGATGGATTAATCCCCTGTATATCCAAGTAGTTCCAGTGTCATTTTTGGAAGAGGACATTTGAAGCTCCGGGGAGAGGTTTAAAGGCGGGTAGTCTCTACTAAGCAATAATTATACTAATTTTAAAGGGAAAACAGCGAGCGCTGTTTCTTTGACGGCGTTAGCCAGCCCCGGTGGCTCTGAACTGAATACGAACGTAATAAACCACCGGGAAGGCTGTCCTCCTCAAAAACAAAGAGCTGAGTCAGCGTACCGAGGGTGAAGCCCCAACCACTTTGTACTTCTGGAGGCCGTGTGACTTCGCAGGCCATTTTGTGGACGCGAAAACTCGAGCGTTCCCCTGAGATGCGGGAAACACCCGCTTCCCGGTCCTTCACTCAGGTCCGCACCCGAAATCCCCGCTCCGCGACCCCGCCATAAACACGTGGACCTCTCGTTGCTTCAGAATGCCTCCTTTTTGTACCAGTCGCCCCCAAATCATTAAAAAAAAAAAAACAAAAAAACAAAAAAGCGGCACCACTCAGGTGTGAACCCCCAGCGCAGAAAGTGAAAGTGAACGCAAGGCCCAGCCGCAGCGGCGCGTGAGCAGGGGTGGGGGCGAGTCACGAGGACGCCGCGGGCCGGTCACGTGATGTAGGATAGCCAATCCCAGCGGCTCTGCACCACGCGCCCATCCGGGCCTGGGAAGCTCTGCTCACTCAATGAAAGCTTCTTTGAGAGCTAGTGCCGGCTAAACCTGGTGTGCAGAGGGTTTTGCACCTCGCTGCATTTCAGGTCTCCCAGTCCTGTATACCTAACAGAGTCGGACATCCCTAAGCCCGGGATTTCCTAAGCACTGTGCACAGTCACTTTCATCAGATGCTACCTACTTAGGCGGGAAAGAATCTTTCTTTTTAGATGTAGGTCTCCAGGTGGTGGGGGCCTCTGTTCTCTTTGGTTGGTTTGTTAGGGAAGAAGCTGGAGCTTTAGGCCTTCTCTCTCCAAAGAGGAAGTGCAAGTGCTGGTGGGGAGAGGTTGGGTCTAAAACCTACGATTTCCCAAGACTCTACCCGTCCCGTTGACGCCACTTTTCCCAATCTGAAAGCAGAGGTGCCCTTGAGTGGAGCTGAGCTCCTGCAAAACAGGGCAGATAAATAGATGCAGCATATTCTGCCCTTCATTTACAATATTTGAAAATAACTCTGGATCTTTTTTCCTACTGGAGTCTCTATTACTTAATTCAGTATCCTAACTTAAAAGAACTTCAGCCCTAAATTTTGGGAAGGTTTTGCCCTTTGAAAGACTTCCATGAGGCTTAATTGTGGCATCTGAGTTTTTACCCCCAAATATACACTAGAAACAAAAGCTAGCTTTCCTAAACCAAATAACAATAGAGGAACTGGTTTGAGCCACCTCCGGGTAGGCAACCCCCACCCCCAAAACGCTCCTCACACTCCAACCTGCCCCTAGGTATGTTTGTGTAATCAGAGACTGATTGTAGCTGCATTGGCGGCCCTCCCCAAGAAAGCTTAGTGAGCATTGATTGAAATTGCTTTTTTTTTTCCCCTAAGTTTATCGAGGCGCGCAGTGAAGGTGCCACTTGGAAGATTGCTGGCTTCCCTGCTCAACGTCTTCAAGAGAGGGCTGAGCTGCGCAGGTGTGCCGCTTGTGACTACGATGAGAAATGAGGCGTTAGTAGTTCTTTAAAATGTTACTTTTGTTTTAGGAAATTGATTTTCAAAGAATCAAAATGGGGGCGGGGGACGGTTATTTGGGCTAGGACTTCAGTAAGGAGAATAACGCCCAGAGTTAGAGGCAGTGAAAGTGTGATGATTTGGGTTCTGCTATTGCTTAATCTTTAAATACTGGCGAAGTTAGATATCCCTCGTCTGGTTTTACTTTTTCGGTATTTTAAAACAGAATAGAGGGACGTTAGGATCGATCACTACGGATAGTTCGAAGAATAGAATTTCGTGTCACCAACCGGTAAGGGTAAATAAAACGCAGAGTCGTTTACGCCTTACTTTGGAATGAAACTTTTATCTTTTCCGAATTTGTGAAATAAGACGGGGAACAAGAAGTGCAGTAACATTTATTCCCCATCCGTCACACAAAAGCTGTGCCCAAAGTTTTAAAAGGCGCTGGGATGTGGCAAGGAAGGCAAAGAGTCAGAGCGGCTCTGGGGATGGGGCTCCCGGCTGTCGCGTTGGGGACGCAGTCACCGAAGACGCCGTGGGAGGCGAGGGGTTGAGGTAAGACGTCGCTGAAGGGTAATTCGGCTCAGAACAAGCCCCTCCAGCCCAGGGTCGTTGTTAAAAAAAGCAAATTCCACAGTGATTTTTACTGATCCCCGCGAGTATGGAACTAGCGGCTCTTGATTGGACTACGTTATCCTAAATTGCGTAATTAAAAAAAAAAATAGCAACCCTGCAGCGATGCCTAGCGCTCCAAGGCGAGCAAGGAGGTGTGATGGAAGGGAAATACCTTCTCCGTTACGCGCCCTTTTCTCTGAGCTGGAACCTCTTTCTTTAAAGTTGGCCATCAAAACATGGGGGGTGGGGGTGGGGTGAGAATTGCCCAAATGTTAGGTTCATTTGGACAAGATTGGAGGAATTAGGGGTCCCACACATCAGGGCAAGAGGACCCTCGAGACAGACTTAAGAGTGCCTCATTTCGTCTAAAGTTCCGCGGGGCACCGGGAGAAGTGGATTGTGCAAAGAAAAATTTCCAGAGAAGCCTTGCCCGAGTCCTCCTGCCTGTGACTTCTTAAGTGTCGCTGTCTTGGAGTAGATTCCGCGGCATGAATGGCTGGGTTTACAAACTGTAAAATAATTTGTCAGCGCGCGGGCTAGGCTGTGTGGGGAAGGCGCGATGCGCTGCAGCCCCAGGCGTCGGGGCCCGGACCGCTGTCAGCCTGGATCGGATGACTTCTGGCGTGTCACAGGAGCCTTCTCAGGCTCCGAATCTACGGACTTGCTGAAGCCTGGGGTGCGCGGCGCGGGGAGGTAGCCTAAAGGGAGAAGGGCTCCTTATGGAGCTGATTAGAGCGTTCATTTTTCTAGCCGCGCACACCGCCCTGGTAGCCGCCGCGCTTCCTTTTTCCCGGTTTGAAAAGCTGGAAAGATGAGTCAAACGCAGATGCTGCAGAATGAGCTTTGGGCCCAGACTCATCCTTAGCAACACCCCACCCCATCACACCCCACCCCCAAATACCTTATTTTAGGTCCTGGGTTCCTGGCAAGTGTGTAGGTGAGGCTTGGGCGGAAGAATCTGGGCAGATGCCAGAATGGGCATATGCCAAGGTGGGCACCTACCCGGAGTTGTCACATTCATTTAGGGGTCAATGAAGCGCTGATTGCCTCTCTATTTCACAAACCAGGCTGGGCACGGGAACTATGCTGCCTTGGCAGTCCAGGAGACCTTTTCTATAAGGGGCATTTTATTTTGATTTTTATTCCTTTCCTTTTTTAATAAGGCATCTAGAAAAACACTTTTAAAGTTTTAAGTATTTTCGTGTATATAGAAACGGATGCTAATTTTTTTAAAAAAAACGGGAGGGGGAACAAAAAGAAAAGATGTGAATTAGAGATGTTGTTCTTAGCGGTCATTGCTAAAGTAAAACAGTGCAGGACAGAAAAAGATTTTCAGAAAACCATTGGTTAAATAAAGTCTTTAGCTGTAAAGACGCAGTAAGTGAGAAAAATAATAAAACGTATAGTAGATACATGACACAGATGAATGAGAAACTCTGCCCCCACTAAAAGCTCTTTCTCCCAGGGAGAATATTTGTGGGGGAAAATTATTTGGTTATTTTCACAGTATTACATCTCCCTTTGAATTAAACTTTTTTCATCAGTCAATTAGACTTGGTTCTTTCATTAGGAGGAACAATGAAGTTTCTAACAGATGTTGTCAGCCACAAACTTGGATCCAAAATAATAAGTGTAATTAATTTTCAGGGACATCTTTAGTTTATAAGGCCTGAAATTAAAATATGATGCTTTTAAATATTGTGGTACAAAAACGCAGGGAAACATTTGTTTCAGAGTTTTGTATTGGCACCATTTCCTTGTTCTGTGTTGGAAAAGTTTTCAGGAGGATATAGCCTTTCTCTCTCATTTCAATACCTCTTTCTTCTTCAAACATGATTTCTTTCTGATTTTGGGAAATTCTGTTAAAAATGTTTTCCGATAAACTCAGCAAGACAGGATATAAAATATAAATATAATAATCTTAAAATGGCCTTGATTGGATAACATAACTCTTTTTCTTATAACTGAAGTGTTATAAAGAATACACTTAATCAGCTGTGCATCTGAATATCATTTTTAAAGCATGCATAATTTAATTTCAATTAATGTTACCAAATCTCTAGGACCCTGAACTATAAGCACAAAGATCAAATTCTCTGTAACAACTGTGAGATAAATGTAATAATCACTGGTTTTTCTTGGTGCAATAAAAGGTAATTAACGATTGGGCTTTTGTAAATTAAATATCAATGTAAAACATTAAGACAAAATACTGAGTGAGATCTCTTATACATCTAGTTCTTAATCCTTATGGTATCATGCTTTTAAAACTCTATGCTGTATGTTAAAGATTCATCAATGTAAATTGTCTATTTTCTACTCATTGGAAAGAGTTAACATGTTTTCTATAGCATTGAAGTCCTCCCCTGCCCAAACTCCTAATGGTTTGTATGCCATGTTTTTAAATCTATTTGGTTTTGAATAAACTATGTGCAAGAATTACGTATCATCCTTTTTTCTTTTAAGTAAATGCCTAGAGAATATTACAAAGTGAGATCTGTATCTTCTTGGGAGTCCACCTCTGTTGAGTCTTAAGACTTATAAATATTTTTCATTTTCTTAGTGATAACATAGCTCTAAGCAGGTACATACAGCTAATGTTACACCCTTTGACAGAGGGGACTAGAATCCTGTTTCTGTACATATTAAATGTTTCTGCCAGATAGACTGTGTCTTGGCTTGGAGTCACATCACCATGATTTTGACTTGTCACATTTAAGCAAATAAGAAAACATATGCTGGCCTTAAAATTGCTACTTTTTTTTCAGGGCTTCAGGATTCTTATCTGCCCTGCATTCATAGGCTGCTGGAATTCTGAGCAATAAAAAAATCTTCTCAATAGGCCATATAATTTAAATGACAAATGTGCCTTGAGCCTATACCATAAAGGGTGGAGTCAAAAGTAGAAGGAATTCAGCAGTCACAGTGCCAATAAATGTGAGAAATAAACTGGAATGGGTTTAATTACTTTTTCTGAAAATTATTTCAATAGCAGTATTTTTCATTTTGTACTGTCTTTCTAGCCGTCTAAATTATTTTTAAGCTTCTTCATGTATCATGGAAAGCATGAAAGTAGAATTATACTTTCTAGGCCAAGATTATAATTTCTTTATTCTCTTTTTCTAACATCAGAATATTTGTTTAATAGAACAAGCTTAGTTCTTTGTTAAAAAAAATATTTATTTGTTCTGTAATGACATGTCTCTATTACACTTGTCTCCTTAGCCGGTTGGAGGTGATGTTACTAAGGTTCCCCAGGTACTGCATTTCTAAGCCCTTTTTGAAAGGAAGTAGGTTGCAGAGGTTGCCCTCAGAAAGCTGGTATTCTCTGTAGTTATAAATGGGATTTTGAAATATTTCTTTACCTATTGGAAATTATGAAGTCATTGGAAGCATTATAAATTAGTAGAAATTACTGGGGAAAAAGAGAGGTCTTTGAGCTTTGTCATAGGTATTTGGATGACAGTCTCCAAAGCATGTATTGAAAAACAAGACCTATTCCTTCTATTTCAGTAATACTTTGTTGTTCCCCATCTTATCGTCCTGGATTTCTTGCCCTTCAAAAGTATATCTTAATTTACTCTGGGGATGTAACTCAGTGGGAGAGTGGTTGCCTGGTATACACGAGACTTGGGTCTAATCCCTAGTACAAAGAAGGAATAAAAAACTTATAGAGATGGGTGTATAATATGTATGTATATGTATGTGTATACATATATATTATATATGTATATATGTTAATTTGAAGGATATTTTTCTCTAAAGATTTTAAGCCACATTTGCTCCTAACTTTAAAAGAGTTCTATACACAGAGTTACTTGGGTGAGCAGTGGAAGGCTCTGTACATGAAGCAGAATGCCTTTCAGCAGTTGCCTGAGTAAAATATGTGTGGGGTTTTTCCTAATGAAGTTTTAAATGTGGTTCTATGAATTCTAATACAATCTGTGGATAATATATGAACAAAAGCATATGTGTTAAATATTACCATTGCAGAAGAAAAATATTTTGTTTCTTTTGATTTGAATACTTTAAACTTTAGTAAAGATGCGAATCATTGTTGAAAGAAAAGATCACTGCATTAGTATTTATTAACATCTGACAACTGAGAGTCAATGTTTTGTATATAATTCACTTAATAAAAATGGCATTGTATGCTCAAGCATAATTAAAAAGTCAACTGATTGGTAGAGAGTTTAGAAATCCCCTTAGGAAACCATATTTTGTTGGTTTCTATTTTACATTAATATATGTAATAACAAAGTGGCAGAAGCCTGAATACATGAATTTTAAGTATCTTTATTACAAATTCAGTTTGCTTCTGGTTGTGGCTTTCTAGCAAGTTTATTCTTACAGATCAACACTACTGTCTCTCACAGCATTTCACACTTCAAATACCTGTCTATGGTATTCTGGGTCTACCAAATTGGAAGTTTGTGGCTAAATAGTAACCCAACTCTATTAAATTTTGATTAAATGTAAGGGGGGGGGGCATACTTAAAACGTTTTAGTATATTTTGTATTTGAAAATAAACTTTTTTTTTGCCTCTAACATAAATTAGTTAGTAGGAAGTCTAGACTGTAAATAAACTCTTAAGTCAAATGCAGATTCACTTGGTTTCCTTCTGTACATTCGACAGTTAATTTTACCTTATTAAGGTCTTTATCTTTCTCAGAATTGTCAGTATCAAATACTTTCTTCCTATTTCAGACCTGGGGAAACCAGTCTACCTGGTTTAAAGTAAAATGTCATTAACCCACCCACCCCCAACCCCTTTATTAAACTGTGCTGGGTTTCAAACTCAGGGCCTTGTGCACTCTGCCACAAAGCTACAATCCCAGCCCTAATTCCCAAGCTTTCTAAGCTTTTCAATCTTTTTTCTTATATCTATTCTTTGTCATCTTTTAAGGACCTTGTTCATGCTAGGCAAAAGCTCTACCAC